TTTTTTTATTCGCTTGTGAAGGAGAACAAGGCAATATGAGAATTTGAAGAAATTGATGATTGTGAATCATTATGTATCGTGTGACTGGGTAGTGCATAGTATCTTTCCTAACTAGTTGCTTTTTGGGTGAGAAGGTGTGGGGACTCAATGTTTTCAATACTGAATTTTTGAAGCGTGAAAAATGACTACAAAGCGTTAGTTTCTGGGCTTGAAGGGTTTTTAAGTTTCTTAAGTTTGATGTTTTCACTTCAAATGAAAAGGTATGGGAATGCATATGGTTACCTGTTAAAGTGACAATCTCGAGGATAAACCATTAATTTTGCGTTTTGCCGAATATTGGATAATTACTGACCAGAGAATCAAATGTCTGCCGATGAAGAAAGTTCAGTACAAAGATTAAAAAAGGAAAACTGGTCACCCATTGCTAAATGGCTTCATTCTCTCCTTGCAGATATCCCCAATACAGAATCGTTTCTCTTTGTTTAGGTCACACTATATTACAGAAGCGGCCAGCAAAAGATACTCAATCGAAACCTATGTTTTATGAGATTTTGAAATGTGGATACCGTAGTGGACGCGAAAAATAAAAATAAAAATCACTTCGCTGACGGGATGGTAGTTTTTATGTCTAATCGTATCTGTAACAAAATTCTCGATCGTGATTGGTTCTCAGCGCACCTATTTGTCACGAAATCGGCGCGAGATCACGTGGGTGTCCAATTAAAGTTATCCAATTACGAGAAGTTTCAATTGGATACCTGTAATTGGATACCCACGCAATTCGCACGTCAATTTACGGCGCACTTTATTGACTTCCTTCTTAATGTTTCTTACAGTTCTTAAAGCTTCCGAAAGTCTCTACTGGCGTTTTCGTTCAAGAGAAGTTCTCCAAAGGCTTTTAAATTTCGAAATTTGCTATAGACACGATTAGTTTGTAATTGGACCTCGTGTCGTACAATTTAGGGAGTGATCGCGCTCAAAGTTTCAAATCGGCTTTGCGCTTCGCGCTCGTCCGATTTTGAAATTACTCGCTCGATTCACCCTGTCCAATCACCATTACAAAACAGTAAAGATGACATTAGTAGCCAAGACAAATCAATGCGGCATTCTTCTGCTTGTGATTTTATTAAACCCAAGGTTAGCAATCAAGTAAACCTTTACAACAGCGATCGACCAATTAATAGATCAGTTATGCGCACTGCACGTTCTGTGGCCAGTCGCATGCCTTGCTTTTCGGGTTGAATTTCAGTCCGGGCGCACAGCTTCTTATGTATTTCCGACCGCCATGGCACTGAATGAACTTGGTGCAATCACTGGGGTCTGCATAAATCCCGTCACCAACGCTTGCACACGAGAAAGGACCTATAAATAAACAGATCAAAACAACCAAGAGAATATGAGGGGTAAGAGAGTTAAAGCCTTTTTCCCAAGATAATCCCTCACAAGCTGCTTTTTAACATAGTACCCAGTTATTCCGCTGATAATTTTACCATGGACGTTGTGTGGATGTTTTATTGAAGGATGGGGATGTGTGTAGCTGCTTAAGCTTTCCACGTCACGGGACTGGCTGTTTTTAGACCCTCCTGGGATTTCCGTAGCCACAACCACAGTTGCTCGACAAATAACTTGAGACGGATTACATTGGGATTTACGCCTTCTCTCGCATTAACTTGTAACATACTGCCAATGGTAAACAATCAAAAAACTGACTTCGACTGATTACCCGTCGACTAGAGTTGCATTAAAAAGTTAGTGAGAAAACTGGAGTCTTGAATTTTACCCCAGAACAGGGGTAATTATCTGGTCACTTAGCAATGGTCAGTGGAAGTCCGTAACAAACGTTTACAACCAGAGCGAATTTAAGTCTGTCATCTTTATCTTAAACACATGTGATGAATCACTGCTGCGGCACTCACCACTCGGTGGGGGTGGTGCTTGGGTTGTCACTGGCGGGGGAGGTGCTTGGGTAGTAACTGGCGGATTAGGACCCTCGGTAGTGACTGGCGGAGGAGGAGCCTGGGTAGTAACTGGAGGTACAGTGTTGGTGAGACCACCGAGTTCTTTGAACGCGTACTCGGAGTACCGCTGACCATTGATGACATTGTTTTGGTCCCAGGACACGTCCCACAGCATTATTCCTCCGATGCCTGGCAGATTTTTCACTGACTGCAGAAGACATGTTTAACAATAATAATATTTAATAATATTCCATGTTATTTAATCCAATTCATTTTGCTTAAAGTAAGCTTCTAGATCAAATTTCGAAATTCTAGCAATAAATAAAGAAACCCTTTTGATGTCATAGGGGCTGGAGCTTGTTCATGGATACTCAAATACTTTACGTAATTATCATTTTTCTTTGGGTGTTATGAATATGTCCATCCTATACCGACCGCATACCTGGTATAAGGTAGTCAGCTCAGCCGGTGGCCTGTAGAAGTGTGCTCCACTTGCTCCCTTTGTAGCCGCAGGCATGCCAATAAAAATCAACGGTCCATGTGGTTTCATTCTCTTTGAAAACGCCAGCCATTTATCCAAAGTTTCAGTGAACCAGTTGCCAGCTCCGGTGTGACAGTAGTTGTTGTAAAATTGTATGTAAAGATGGTCGACATATTGCCCAGCCTCCTCCAATCCTGGAAACAACATTATGTAAAGAAAGGTTACGTGCTGAATCAAAATACCTTTAACTTAAAAAGATGTTGCTATTTTTAATAAGAGGTACAGGTTCAGTAAATGAGCTTCTCACATGATAATATGTGTTAAAGAGAATGACGTGTACTTTGTAAATTAAACACTGTTCTTAGCTTCGTTGTTTCCACGCTAACAGTTTCACGTGCGCAGTTAGCTCCTTACCAGATCCAGGCTTCTCAGGTCCCATGTGATGATCGGGGTATGGACACTGGGGTGCGCCCGTGATCAGGTAGCCCTTTGACTGGTCATTATCCATGAGCGTGCGCAATTCAGTTATAAACTCGGGGTAGTATTTGTAGTCACCTCCCTCGATATCCAGGTCAATACCATCCATAACAGCGCTAAAAATAAAATACAACAAATAAAGTCCATCACCCGGAGACTTGGGGACCCTCGAATAACACTAACAAGGTTTCTCGTTGGAAGTTACAACAACTGATTTGGGGGTGGGGATGGGAGTGGGTGGTCACTCACGTTCATTTACACACCTAAGAACTACGAGGGTCTGGATGGGATTAAACTGATAATTGAGAATTGGTCAAAATGTGAAATGTCAGCTGAGAATTGATGTGATGATTAACTGTCCCTTGACACCTTAAATCTGCATAGTGTATTGATAGCTCTGAAATGGGTTAAGAACTGACCCTAATATTTAACTGCTAAGAAAAAAATCCGGAAACCCCATCCAGTCCCTGAACTACAGTAGCATTTAGGCTCACCAATGAGACAGAAGTTATAGTGTTCATTTCGGTAAAATGAGGTCATTCGAAGAAATGGGATGAGGGAAGATAAGACTAAGGATGTCTTTTTGCTCTATTAAGGGGAAGTGAAGGGAAGGTGAAGAAACGTTTCGGTGCTATATTGCTATATTTTTCAACTGAAGGGGGCGGGGTGGGGGAATGAAAGAGAAGCTTAAGATTTGAAGGCAGCGCCCTTTACAATTGCCTCTGCTTCCACCTTGATGCACACCAAAAAAATCTGAACGTACCTCCCAAAAGGCCTTATTTTTTGATAGCCACTACCTCCCAGAAACAAGTCGAACAGTGTACGTGCAAATTCTCTGGCCTTGTCAGGATCGGGCAGAGTGCCATCCCCAGTCGCTCCACCAATAGACATCAAGACTCTTTTTCCTCTTTTCTGGCATTCTTTTATTCCTTTCTCGATCTCAGGGCATCGAAGTAGGAATGGATACTCCGGGGAAACTGGAGTCTCACAGTGGTAGGCGAAGTTGAGTGCAGGAACTTTGGAGTAGAATCAAATTAGCGAATCATCGGATATACATATCACGGGGAAATCTTTACCCACAGATTTCTTAATAAGAAGATGAAGAATGGTTTTTCAAACAATCCTGTGTTGCAGGGGATAAAAGGGTATGGGTTTCTATTGCAACACTACCATATTGCTTGTGCTACTGATTGATATCGTAAATCAGGAAGAGTTTTGATAGGTTCGTTTGATTGTTCGTGTCCTTTGTGATTAGCTGGAGTGATTACTTAGTGGTTTTGGTTTCACGACACTCTATAAAAAATCGTTCTTTCATCTTAACATAATTGCCATTTATCTGTTAATCGATAAACTTTGGGCGAAAATAACTTTTATGATAATGTGCATTTCGGCGTATCTGTGGGGGGCGTTGTGTATTGCTTTAATTGTAGACTTGTAAGCATATAATATGTGATCATATGAATTTAAAGGATAAGCACAGCGGAAAGGAAAGCACACATGTATAAACTGACTAAGCGTAGCAATACGTACGGCCTTTATTCCTTGAATCAAAGAACACTATGACGAAGGACACGGCAAGAATGTCGTACTTCGTTGTCTGACACACTTCGAACAGCGGTTTCTCGTAGTTTGCCGGCCCATTAGCAGGTCCAGCTCCGTTTTGTCCCCAGTACCCCACCAACAGCTGACGACCGGAGTAGGTAGAGCGTGGCACTACAGAAAAAAAATGAAACAAGTGTAGATGATATTGTAGCTATTAGCAGAATAAGCAGTGGTCTCTTACTGACGTAACGTAGCACGCTCAAACATTATTCCTAAGCAGCATGGCATATCTTCTTTGCGCTTTCCTAGTGTGACCAATCAGTGTATAGGCCCTTTGCAGGATCTGGTCACATGGTACGGAATAAATTATGCTGGGGCGCAAGTTACACAGTGGGACTTCCAAAACAAAGGAATTCGTACCAGTCCGCCCCGATTTTCCTTTGTTTTAGAAGTCCCACTGTGTAACTTGCGTCCCAGCATAATTTATTCCGTACCATATGACCGGATCCTGCAAAGGGCCTATTCGTGAGGGTTTGTGCTATTTTGAGGGTGGAGAATAAAAATCTAAACTCTTCGGGGAATTTAGCAAGTATTTTCAGTAAACGTCTGTTAAGTACAGTTTCTAATCAACGATATTTAGAAGCATCATGACCAATTTTTAAATGAAACACAGTACTATATATTATCATTACATGTATTAAAGTACTGAAAACGTTACACAGGATAAAGTAGCAAAATGGAAAATGAAAACACGAATAATATGGTCACGGACGCGGTAGGCAAATAACTAAACTTAAAATTGATTTAAAAAAAAAGCTATAACGCGTTCAAGGCATTCCATACCTCTTAAAGCCCAAGCTACTCCACATGTAAAAAGAAAAACCACGACAAGATGAAGAACAGAACCCATCTCTACAGAGCGAGGCTACTTCAGTGGCGAGAAACTCCAAATAATCCAATTTATGGCAACGATGCCTGCCAGGAGTTATTGCCACATCTCGGAATGTCACTCAAAAAGAATAACTGAACAAACACAGCAGCAAGGTTTACTTCTAAACCCACCTGAAAAAGCGTTCATCTCTCAAGATTTCACAGAAACCTAACCTCTAACACCAAAAAAGGATGACATTTTCAAGAATGTACTAAATACGTGTTTGTAAACTTAACAAAACGTAAATAATGTGTGACGAAAGGTGGGAAGCCTGAATAAAGACTCACAGATGGAAGCCGCATGGGAAGACATCTAGACAACAGGTGTCAAAACGAAACTTGACAGGCCGTTTTGGGGGACTCAGCTGTGTAACTGTTACAACGTTACCTGTGATAAAGGGGAGTGGTATCTAATGTCGTAGCCAGTGGTTTTAAACTTCATGATATCTGTAGAAATGAAAAGAATGAATCACAACAACAAAAAGTAAACTTTTTGAGGACATCTTTATCAAACCAAGCGCGTTTCCAGGTAATCGCGTGTTTGAAGGGAGATTTTAGGGAAATGATGTTACCGAAATGATATATTGCATTTATCCCGCATCAAAGCATCAGTTGGAGAGAGGGTATTCTAAGTTTCTTCCTGTGTAGAAAACGGAAGGCTGAGGGAGACTCCCAAAATGCCCAAATTGCAATTCCTACACCACCTGACGGATATAACCACTGTTCCCTCGTTTTTATACCTTCTGCTGTTTAAGATGATTTCATTTCAAATGAAGGAATCCTTAAAATGGTTTAAGACTTATTCCTCACCATGATTGAGTCTGTGCACAGAGCTTCTAATTTGTTTTCAGTTCGTCAAGATTGCAAGCAAAAGTATTAACCAAAGGGGATTTGAAACGCGTCCGTAAATCCTTTTGCCTCTAGTGTGACAGTGGTTGTTATAGAACTGAACATAGAGATGGTCGACAAGTTATACCACTTCTTTGAAACCTACACAGAAGGAAGTTCATGATGTAGTTTGCGAAACAAAACGTTAAACGAGGATCAAAGGTAAAAAGGATCAAAGAAGAAAAAGAAGGAAAGGAGGGAGGGAAGGAACGAAGGAATGAATAATTGAAAAGAGACTGGAAACAAACGAGAGTAACCCGTCCCATGTCCTTGCGTTTCTGTTCTTAGAAGATGATCTGGATACGGACTGATGTTGAAGTTCTCCAGTTATCAGATACCTTTTCTCTCGGAACGGGTACATAGTTATGCCCATAGAGAGTCTGTAAAGCTATTATTTACCTCTACCACTCTCCTCAGGGCAAATATGGTCCCTTATGGTGGACTTGAATAACAGAAATTATATTCCTTAACGAATTAACCTGCGAGGTTTTTTGCGCCCTTTCAGGATGAAGAGAAACCTTGGGAATGAGATCGTTTTACAATGCTGTTTTGTTTACATTGTCTCACGAAAACCAAGGCCTGATACAAAATCCCTTTAGCTCGACCTAGAATGAATTTGATTGGTTAACTGAGAAATAGACCCGGCTAGAAGTAAAAGCA